GTAATAGGCAGATGAATGGATACAGAAGATGATTGATATCCATACATTATAGGCTTTTGAATCGTAACCCTGTCATATGAATCATTCATGAGCTCGTTGTGTGTGTGTGTGTGTGTGTGTGTGTGTGTGTGTGTGTGTGTGTGTGTGTGTGTGTGTGTGTGTGTGTGTGTGTGTGGTGTGTGTGTGTGTGTGTGTGTGTGTGTGTGTGTGTGTGTGTGTGTGTGTGGTGTGTGTGTGTGTGTGTGTGTGTGTGTGTGTGGTGTGTGTGTGTGTGTGTGTGTGTGTGTGTGTGTGTGTGTGTGTGTGTGTGTGTGTGTGTGTGTGTGTGTGTGTGTGTGTGTGCGTGTGTGTGTGTGTGTGTCAGGATTACGTAATCAAAAACAAAGGTAACTGAATTCCCCAAAATCTGATCACCGTGATATTTCCAATACACAGCCCTATAGTTAGAGAAAACGCTACTGATAACACAGCATCCAATGTTTGATTTCATTATACAGCAGAAAACATATAGAACGAGGGATTCTTTGAATAAATAATTACCCGAAGGGGGTTACCAAATACCACCAATATGAAGCGGATGTTTAAAAAAAGCAGGCAGATAGTGGGGTGAGTCTGAGAATGACTCATACTCTTCTATATGAATCATTCATGAGCTCAGGAGTCTCCCAGATTCTGTGGAGAGGCACTGTGTGTGTGTGTGTGTGTGTGTGTGTGTGTGTGTGTGTGTGTGTGTGTGTGTGTGTGTGTGTGTGTGTGTGTGTGTGTGTGTGTGTGTGTGTGTGTGTGTGTGTGTGTGTGTGTGTGTGTGTGTGTGTGTGACAGGATTACGTATTCAAAAACAAAGGTAACTGAATTCCCAAAAATCTGATCACCGTGATATTTCTAAAAATGGTGGATTACTAGCAGGATTACTAAAACCTAAGCATTTAGTGTTTGTTGTAAAGGATCAGATGTTATCTCTTCTCTGTAAACTGTTCTGCTCTGTAGGCTAATACTTTAAGCGTGACGCCTACTGCCTGAATCTGCTTTATGGTTTTCACTTTCTTTGGGTCATTGGTTCTTATTTCATTCTGCAAGAAAACCTCTATGTTCATAAAATAGTGTGTGAGCTCAACTATTAAACTGAAATGCAGCATTTTCTGTTATGTTGTTTTACATAATACATTTAGGTAAAAAACATCTTATTGATATTTATTTTCTCTTTTATTTATATATATCTGCTTTCTCTTGTTCTGAGTTATCGTCATGGTTTATAGCACTTATTGTAAGTCGCTTTGGATAAAAGCGTCAGCTAAATGCAGTGGAATGTAATGTCCGGAAATAATTCTTCCCCAAATAGGCATCCTCAATGATTTGAAAAAAAATGATTTTTTATTTGTTCTAATTAATGTATTATCAGCATTATTCTACACAATAACCAATAATCCACCATAACATTTGCTATTGTTCTTTGTTGTATTTTATTTTTTTAATTTACTTGTTCTAGGTCATGTTCAAAATGTATATATTTGTCCTCGTAAAGAAACCATGTTATTCTTGCTTTTGCTCAAAATGTTAAGGAACATAACAGCACAATACAAATGTATATTTATTTAGATATTTAGAATTGTACAAAGCTTTGGCAATACTGTTTGTCATTATGGTCATGCCAATAAAGGACTGGATTGAATTGATAAAGCACATCAGGTAATATAGTGCAATGTAATGCAATATATTTTAATGGAATATAATCTAATGTAATGCGATGTAATGTGATGAAATGAAATGTGATATAATGTAATGCATTGTAATGTAATATAATATAGAACCGTGTCTCACCAGCCAGGCTGTTGTAGCACTCCAGCTCCGCGTTCTCCATGGCCCCCTTCTGCTCCTCCGTCAGGGAGCTGGGCTTGCTGAGGGTGGGCAGCAGCGGGGAAAGGGTCTTGATCTCCGGGTCTCCAAGCACCCTGCACAGCCCCTTGATCTCCAGCAGAGCGCGGTTGGTACTTCCCGATCGCCTCCCGGTACTTCTTATCCTTGTAGCACTGGGTTCCCTGGCTCTTGAAGTCCAGAGCCCGCCTCACCACGTCCCCCGGTTCGTTGAGGGAGGGCTGTTTGAGCATGGAGGCTCCATGGTGCCTCTGAAGCTGTTGCTGCTGCTGCTGCTGCTGCTGCTGGATCCGCGCATCTTTGCTCCGGCTCGGAGGCTGAGCGCACTGCCTCGGGGATCCACCGTCCGTGAGTCCGGCCTTCACCACACTCATATCGTCCTGCTCGGTATTTCTCTTTATGATATCTCCCCTGTCGCCCGGCTGTAAATTAGCTGGGATTTGAATGTTTTAAATCCACTGCATCCTCTCGGTCGTGTCGCAGCTTTACGTCTCCTCTGCGCGTAAACCCTGCGCGCTGCTGCTGCTGCTCGGGTTCTTCCTCTCTTGTGCGCCGATTGGTGGATAAACACAAGGCCAGTGGTCCCATGGTGGTCCTCCAGCAGGAAGAGGAGGACAGCGTCTGATTG